TATATTTAAGTCTCCTTTCGTCTGGTCGTGTTGATAAGCAAATATCGATTGTGTTCAGTTTAATATAATAGTAATATGCTCAGTAACTTTTTGTATATTCAGAGGTATAATATATTTAAGTGTCCTATCGTTTGATCATGTTCACGAGCAGAAATTGCTTGTGTTCAGCTGAAAACTATAGTTACTGTATATGCTCAGTAACGTTTTGTTTATTCTAGGGTATAATATACTTTAAGTCTCCTAACGTTTGATCGTGTTCACAAGCAATATCGCGTGTGTTCAGTTTAAGATTATAGTAATAAGCTCAGTAACTTATTCGTACATTCTAAGGTGTAATATATTTAAGTCTCCTATCGTTTGATCTTCACAAGCAGAAATTGCAGGTGTTCAGTGCAAGACTATAGTAATATGCCCAGTACGTTTTATTTCTTCTAGGCTATAATATATTTAAGTCTCTTATCGTCAGATCGTGTTCACAAGCAATATCGCTTGTGTTCAGTTTAAGATTATAGTAATAAGCTCAGTAACTTTTGTTGTAGATTCTAAGGTATAATATATTTAAGTCTCCTATCGTTTGATCATGTTCACAAGCAAGATTGCTCGTGTTCAGTTCAAGACTATAGTAATATGCCAAGTATTTAAATATTTCTTCTAGCCTAGTATGCACCAGATGGCCAGGGTTTTTTATATCAACATACCGTTTGATATGTATAGTACTTCCAATAGAATTCGTGAATCAGACTGCTTTATATCTAATATGAATTTCTCGTAGTTATATGTGTGCAGTTACATGATAAATTCACGTGAGGGTTAGGTTTGATTTAGGTATTCCCAACATGAAATTAAATTTTAACTGCAATTCCATGAAATGAACTATTGCAATAATTTGATGTATATCTGAATTGATTGTAACGGGAAAATAAATGAACTTTTTGGCGGCTTCGTAGAAAAAGTTTCGACATAAAAATCAAGTAGAAGTAACATTAATATGGGGAACCATATCGGGAGTAATTAATTGAGATATTTATAATGTATTAAGTTTAACAAATAATTGTAGGGCACTTACGAGCGTATACGCTTCTGCAATCCTTTTTTAACCATTCAAATCAATTGCATCTAACACTCGTCATGTTCGTACTAGAGGATTCCGGTTCTTTCGGTCCGCCGTGATTTAAGTAAGGTACGTAAACCATGATTCAGTTCAAGTGATGTTCTTTCGAAAAAACGCATATGTCTGGTAAGCGCAGCGACTTATAGACAAGGTTAATTACCCGAGCCATACTTTCAAAATTCGCTAAGTGAACGTAAGTACTTACGCTCTACTTTCTTGTCTATGATTGGTGGATTTTGCTTGAAAGGCCGTCAATTATTGGCTGATGAACTTACGATCTCTTAACTTTTTTTGAAAATATGGGCCAAGGTATTTCTTGCTATTAAACGTAAAAGTGAATAATACCAGCATTCCTGAAGCTCACATTGCCGTATCTGTTCAAGGTAGGCAGCTCCGATGCGAAAGGTGAATTATTCGCACATTCGAACTGATATTAAAAAATAAGATTTTAAGTCTATGACTGCACTTTTAGAGCCAACATTACTCCCCCTTTCACACTTCACCATCGCTTCCTTGGCGCCCGCCTACATTTGTTTCTGTTACTTGTCTCTTAGGCGAGTCTGAGATGGAAATGTATCTTCCTGAACTAATTACGTGGCAACAAGGTGTAATAGGAAAGTAAAATTACTTGCCTGTTGTCGGATAATATAGCAAGAGAACTACCTCTCTCCTCTCTTCTCGGTAAGGATATTTTCTAAAATATTTATTCCTAAAATTACATGGTTTTCATATCCACGTGAATAATTATGATGAGCATTAGGTGGACATTAAAATGACAAAAAAAAAATTGGAGACCCATGAATATTTTGGAAGAATTTCTTGACAAGAACTAAGATTCGTTTTTCCATATCAATTTTTGTCTATGCCGCAGATGGAATATTACGCACATATTTTTGTATTAAAATTATGCTCTAACTTTCGAGCTTGATATTTCGGAGAGCTGCGCAGCAAAAGATGCAATACATCATTTGAGACAGCATATTAAATTGCGCTTTCCCGTTCTCCCGCACACTTATAACGTTAGGAATTTAATGAAGCGTTCTGAAGAATGAGTTTAAATACAATTTTTTCTGCAAAATTTTTATCATGTGAAGTAATGTAAATATCATGAATAATTGAGATCAGTTGAGATCATGTTGAGATCAGTGGAAAGTATTTCTGCAGCAAAAGATGGAGGTGGAAGCGAAATACTTGAGACCATTTGTCTGTTTCCGGCTGAATAAGAAATCGGCCTCGACTTACGACTGATGTTCCAAGACAATAACTTCAAGAGGGCCAAACAATCGAAACAAATTCCAAATTCCTCCGTATCAACGGGAGCAATAAAATGTAATTTATTTCGCAATGATAAATGGGGCTAGAAAATGGGGCAATGAGAAAAAGGCTATTTGAGAACGTATTTTATGGAAAAATTTGAACTTCCATGCCTCAGTGCAAGCAATTATTGAACTGCAAACAAACTCGTCTGCCACCACAACAAATGCGCTTGTTACGATACCAAGATCATCCAATTAAGTTCTCTTTGAACGTCGTATTTTAGGAGAGCATGGAAGCAACTATCACGACATGAATAAATCTAGACGATATATATTGCGCATTGCAATGCCATTACATTCGACTTGTAGTTCAGCCAGTACTCATTAATTTGTTTATGGAAAACGGGAGAATTATTTGAAGTTAGATTCCCGCAGAACAAAGCGGATGTCCGGAACAAAAAAAAAAAAAAGAATTATTCGCTTCGATTGTTTTTCCTCTACCACGAGGGGAATAACGATGGTATGGAAGAAGAATACATTGCACGGAAGAAGCAAATGACAAGAAGGGATTGCCAAGGGTGATTCTGTTTTACGATTGACTTGGCAATACTTTTTTTGGTAATATCGCCCGGAATCAAATACTGGTTGGTATCTTCGGGTAGCTGCATTTTCTGCTTTACATCACAGAAGTGAGCGGGTGAACGCTGACTGATGGAAATGTAACGAAAAATTATGACTGAATAATAAATTGCAAAATATCTAATTACTGAATTTCAGCTCCATAATGCGAGTAAGAATAAAATTAGGAATAAAATTAAGAATTAAATATATACAATTTATTCTTTTGAAATTTGGTGTCATTAAAATAATATAATTGAAATGTGATAATTAACATTGATATTAAATTTATAAGTTTGAATCATCCACGAATTTCTGGTTTGTTTGAACATGGGTCTGGAGACGAAACTTATTTAGAAAATAAATTTCGTTTAATACTCAGTGACTGAGAGATTAAATTAATAATCTCGTGCAAAGCAGCTTTCCACTCAGCTTCTCTCGGATTCACTGAGATCAGGAAACTAAAACTATTTTGGGTTCATTGCTTCGCCCAGGAATGCCTACTCATACAGATAACTGGCGTAAATAAAGACTAAATCTCTCTCTCAATAAAAAAAAATGCGATAACAACACCACTGTTCGAGAGTCATATAGTAAAATGCAGCTCATGCTCTGTAAATGCCGATTGCGAGCGGAAAATGTGATTGCCCTGCTGCTATGAAAATGATTCATGGAATTTATGACCCGATTCATATATAAACTACTTCTATGCAATTATTTCACTCTAATCAATTGAATTCACAATAGTATTTTGCAGATATCTCTTAAAGCTGAGTAAGTTTAATTCAACAAGAAGGAACTTGAGACAGTGCCTCATATTTGCACGCTGAAGACAACATAGCAACATCTGTGAAAAGCTATGGAACGAACTATTAATTAATTCTGCCTATTCAGCAATTTAAAGAATATTGCCTATTGAAATGATTAAATAATATATGCGAAGATTTACTTAATGGTTCACAAATATAGTAATGCAGTCTAATTCTCACAAAGATTTCTCCTAATGATTGAAATTACCACTATGTCATGGAGGCCGTCAATAGAAAATACCAGCAACATGGCTTGGCGTAAAGCCGTTTAGTGAATCCACCATAAGGTTTTGTGCTTGTCGAGTGCAATAACTCCTCTACGACGAGCTGATATAGAGTAATTACACTGAGGAATAATAATCCCCTGCCTCTGAAGCCGCAACTGCCAGTTCATTTAGTGTGGCACTACAGGGGCATCACTTGTAATTACATTTGTGCGAAGTCTTACGTGATGGCCGGGGCAGTTCTGAGCATACGACTGCCGGGCGCAATAGGTATTCTTCCAGCGATGAAACGCCAATCGATGTTTTAATCAACAGCGAGGAAGAAAGTTGTTAATGAAGTTCAAGGCTGCAGTGGATGTAACCTTCAACCTGATATTTCATACTGAATTTAATGCTAATATTCATGACACAGCATGGAAATATATATGCAATGATTAACACATAGTGTGGGTACAAGTTTGCACGCATGCCATCTCTTGATTTGAGATCGAAGGATTGTTAGAAAATATATATATGTTTACACCTATATACCTTTTTATACCTTTATGCCTTTTTGGATCATGCAGAGTATTGCATGTCCTTGCACCCTAGAGTCCAGGTTTTGTGCAACGTATCAGTAACTATCACACTTTTCATGTATTCAGTTGTAAAATAACAATTGAATAAATGTAGGTATTCTTGAATTACTAGATCGCATACTCGTTACTCAATCACAATCGGTTTCCGTTTCAACCATTATTGCAAATAAGGAGCGACCAGCGTTCCTTCCTCCACTTTTTCGGAAATTATCTCGACAAAAATGAAATCTGATATAACGATATTCACAAAACTTACGATAGTCAAAAATTTTTTTAGAATCCGGATCAATATGGCATGTATAGGCAGCGCCGTCCGGCGCGGGCATGCGGAGCGCAGGGTGCCAGCCGAGCCGAGTCACGGATGCCAGGCAGGCCCTGGCTTCAGTATGGCTCGGTCAGTGGCACTGTCAACATTATAGCTTAGCGATGCCGTCCCTGGCACCCGTGTTGTGGCACTCACAGTGGCCCTCGACCTCTGTTACCGAGGCAGTGCCGCTGCTGGCAGGATTACCTGTCCGGGACCAAACGTTGCCAGAAATTACGCCTCAGATGTTCAATAGTGTAGACGTGACCAAGTCTAATGGCAGTATACCAATCTTGCGCCTGTCAATACCAATCCTGACGGTCACTCCTACTTCTCTAGACAGTCATTTTTATTATGCGCCAGCAAATGTGACCGACAATGACAGCTATGAAAGCTCTCTTGTAAATAGTTATCCCGAATCGCTCTTAAGTAACAAGACATGCTTTAATGGAAGTGAAGTTTGGAACTGTACGGAAACTACGAGAAGTGAAGATGGGGTAACGATGCTGTGGTTGCTGGTGCTGTTGGTGTTCCCGGTACTCACGGTGTTTGGTAATGTGCTCGTTATTCTCTCAGTGTACAAGGAACGATCGCTCAGGTCAGCCACAAATTATTTCATCGTCAACCTCGCCATCGCTGACCTCCTCGTTGCCGTCTTCGTCATGCCGCTCGCGTTGGTGAGTAAGGCTGTGGAATGGACGTGTCGCAAGAGAATGTTTACAATTATATGCTGTCTAAAATTAACATAATTCGAAACCCAAGTACAACCCTACTCGTACCTGCAATGAGCTTGAAAAATGAAGCACAGAATACATTTTGAATTAGTTTTTTTAGCTATGAAGCTCATGTTCAATTTCAATTTTTTGCGCCATAAAACTCCATCCGTTTATGTTCTCGATTAAGTGGCCGATATTTAACATAAGATCATAAATTCACTTGCAATTTATGTTGCGTAATGTTTCGTCACTCACTATAGCAAAATTCTTTAGATATTATTTAAATTTATAACCCAGTAACGCTATTATAGAGGCTGACACCGCAATATTCCCTGAAAACTCGCCAAATAATTTAGAGGTTAATTAAGTTTCCGTAGGTTCGCTGGTCTGGAACTGAATCCAATAAATAGTGGCTGGCTGGACCGAACACGGATATCATGTCGGAACACATTTAATTAAACAAAATCTTTGGTTTCGATGTCATAACTATAATGACAAATGTGCGAGAAATGCTTCCGCGGTCTCAATATATTTGAAGTTCTCATTATAGGGTTGTACGTTACAGGAATTATTATCATGTATAGACTCGATGTATCTTCAATGGACTTGATGTATGGCTCATAAATAATGCGGAAGTGGATCAAAGACCAAACCAGCGATTCGGAAATATTTGATGTCTTTCACGCGATGTCTGAATATTTGATGTCTTCAAGCTTCATTGCAAATCCAGAATCACTATTATTCAGTACCGAAGCAGGGCACAAAAAGTTTGAGATTATAAATTTCTAGATGCATTTTTAGGAATCTCGATGTCCGTTCAAACTTTTGTCTCGATGTTTGTTCACAATACGTATTTTCCAGCGAAAATATTTGTTACCAGACGTGTCGAATTTCCACAAAATTACAACAGCACTAAAAAAATTATTCTAGGCTTCAGTGATTCTAAAAACACGACTCTATGACGACGGTAGCTTGGGGCAAATGCATGGTTAATATATTTGATTACACTGAAATGGATTATTTATACAGCTGAAATTAATACCCAGTAAAATAGAAGGAATAATATTAATATATTTAATTTAATTAAGCATTTAATACCAGTAGAAGATTATTATGACCAGAGATCGGTTAATTATAATCTTTTAAACTCACGACTGTTTTACGAATATTAGAAATCCAGGAAATTTTTGCGCATAAAATGAATGTTAAAAGTCTAGGATTGTAGAAAAATAAATGAGAGAAATGGCTTACTTTTATAAACAGGCATTATATCTATTTTTTTGTAAACGGGCATCATAAGTGGGGCGGCTTCACTGTTTTCCATTTAAACAACAGAATTTTAAAATGAATGCGAGCATACAAAGGCCTGTCTGCTCTGCTGTTGTTCAAAGCGATTGTTCCATCGTCCACAACTTTTGCATGCGGAACACCGCTCGTAACAAGTTGTCGTAGGGTCAAAAATTCACGGATGAGGCACAGGCAAAATTTTAGAAACGAATGCCCTAAGGCTTTTGTTTTGCAGAGAAACATGCAGAAGGTTCACCTGTTGCGGCAGCGGCAAGGCGGGTATAGATTGAAGGAACTTACATGCCCACGCATTTTTCATTATATTTTAATGGCTTCTGGATAATATTTATGTGAAAATAATAGTTAAATAGGTCTCATATACGACTCATTATTCCTTAAATAATTAAAAATTTGGCACGAATGGCATACTGAAATGGGATAGTTAGGAAATGTTTTAGTTCGCTCGAACAGCTTTAAGACAGAGGTCGCGTTCCCTCTTGTTAACCATTAGTTGAATGGTCTCGAACGTCTTGAATTTACAGGCTTTTTTTGTAGTGCAACGGGAGTCCAAACAAAACAGAATCTCGTATTTCTCTCAAACTGCTTTGGGCACCTATTTCAATAAATTATGATTGAAAAAAATTCTAAAACTGAATTTTAATTACAAACAGCCCCTTGAAATCTGCAGAAAATACTCAGGAATTTAATTTTCCGTCAACGAAAAGAGGCAGAGCCAAATTATATCTTCAAACAAAATGTACTCTAAAAATGTTTCATTAAAATTGACGGGCTTCCAAATGCTTGTGTAAGGCAAATGTGGAGGTCGAAAATGTAACCCATTACCAGACTGTGATGATACGACAGACTCGCTGTCTCGCGTCACCGGCAAATGAGGAAGATCGAGTGACAACCACGGACCGATTTAGCGCGTTCGACATCGATGAGCCGGGCTAAGCCTGCGATTTGGAGCAGTCTTGCCAGTAATATTACAGCATTTAGGACACAAGTGATGTAAGCAATTTATGTAATGAGCTTTTACGACCATTTATAAATTTTAAAGCCCAGATACATACTAAATTTCCGACCTCTTCTTCAAAGCAAAATGGTCGCTTTCATCTCAGTGTGTGAGTCATATATATAGCTGACTTGTTTATCAGAATCGAGGTAAACTAATTTAAAACTTCCTGCCCAATTTCCATAAGATGGCCATAAGACATCCCGAGGGTTGCACACTGTACCTATTAAAACACCGGCAACTGGTCGGAAATGAGACAATATATTGTCAGGAGAATTATCAAGGTAGTGGAGAAAAGAAGGCTCGACCGACTTATTTCTTGCAGCAATTGGAAATCATATTTCAATCAATAACGGGCTATACTCAGCCGGTCATCGCCCTTCCAAAAACTGGTGATGTAATTGCTAAAATGAAATTTTATCTAGTGATGTCTGCACCAATGATAAGCAAATGGTAAAATTAGCATCGCTACCATTGCTATTTCAAATTTGGGGTCGTGCTAGTTTAGTGTGCAAAATATTTAAAAAATATTTGTGATGTTGAGATTTAATAATGAATTTATGAATTTACTCGTTGATCTTTGAGTGAATGAATGACTCTAATCAGTTAAAGTTCAACGAATGAGAGAAAAATAGATAATATATTGACAAAATATTAAAACCAATATATTTGAGGCTAACTTTGAGCCAAGCCGATGATGATTTCATATTTTCATATAACTTCATATAAAATATTTATATACTAAAAATTTAAAAGAAAAAAATAGCCAGAAAATTTACCATTTATGATAGAAGAAATGATGAATTTTCTAATCATTTTCTAGGCTTTTAAATACTTGGTGAATTTGCTATGTAAGCAGTCAAGTGATCATACTAAATATTTACGTATCGTATTCAACACAGAAAAATAAGGTAAATTTGAGATTTCCATGTTTTCATACACAAGCATTTATCTCAATACATAGTTATATATGACAGAAAGCTCATGATTAATCGACCTCTATGATTAATGATGTTGTAAACTCACACCTGGAGGAATTATATAGATTTATTTTGGTTGCATGGGGGAAAGTGATGGATGAATTTCTTGTTTTGTGTTCCGTAGTCGGACACATTTGGCCTTAGCGGAGTAAATGTCATCGCACTCTAGATGCAAGTGTCATGGCACTCTAGATGCAAGTGTCATGGCACTCTAGATGCAAGTGTCATGGCACTCTAGATGCAAGTGTCATGGCACTCTAGATGCAAGTGTCATGGCAGCCGATATAGTGCCACGCTGGTGACTAACTGTCTTGTTTTCCGCCGGACGGGCGGTCGTCAACAGCTCAGTCTTGCTCAGTCTGTCCCTCTCACAGCTCAGGAAACGTCGAATTTTTGAGCCCAAGGTTCCTCTTGGGAAAAACTATAGACAATAATCTTTGATCAACTGTATTACAAGCCTCTGAGGAAATTTTATTTCTGTAAAGACCAATTACCGACAATAAGGCTGTGTATGTAACATACGCTTGCAAGCCTGAATTAGTGTAATTCAAAGTTGTGAGCTGCATCAGCCTTCAGAAAGAAGTATTTTTTACCTATCTCAGTTGGAAATCATGCAGTCATTGAAGTCCACTGAAGCACTTGACTGTTAAGAAGAGTTTATTTTTAAAGATAATTAATGAATTTATTTAGTCGATCAGGAAAATGAAGCATGTTATTCTCCAATATAAAAATTAATTAATAGCATGAGAAAGACATTTGCCAATGCATTCGACATTAAGAATTGTTACAATCAGGATCTGATTTTGAAAATACTTCTGTATTTCAGCCTGTTTCCATTGTTCACTTCCACTGAAACGCCAATCGAACTGGTTATTTTCACGGCGAATTTTTTGAGTTAAATATAATAACTAGAGGTGAAAATAAAAATTTTTGATGAATCTGGATAAGAACGCTTGATATGCATGAAAAATTTGTGTTCATGATTTCAGGAAAATATTAATGAACGATAATCACGGAATGAAACCCGCGCAGTCGAATATTATTATGAAGCGTGCATGAATTGTCGAAGCAATCAAACTAAGTTGCGTTCTTTACAAGGCATAAAAACTTCTGTAACCTCATCAAAACTTGAGAACTAAATTGTTGTTCTTGAATAAAATAGCAATTACGCAGTTAGTCTTCAATTAGAGTCCGGCTGGGGTTTCTGATGAGTGTTTCTTGTTCATTTTATTTGTCATAAGGTTTTAATAAACGTCGAATAAAGAGCATAGGAAAGTTAGTGAGGAATTTATGCAAGAATATAACATTAATTTTGTAACGATATACGTGTACGAGAAATAATTATTAGAAAAGCCATAGTCAATTTAATGCAGCATAACAACAATGATTTCCATAATCGGATTATTTGCAAACTTTTTCTACAAGTAATTTGAATTGAGTGTGATTATCTGATGTAAAAAAGTTTCCAGCAGGGTTCGAAACTTCGTATTTGTACGTACTAGATGAGATTTTTCCTATGTTTGCTCGTTTTACATGTTTTTGTGATACAAGATGAGATATATTTTATGTTTGCTTATTTTACATGTTATTGTTGATTCGTATAAATCTGTTTGTTCAATTAATTATATGGAGTTCAAACTATTCATATAGTAAAATGCACGCTGGTTAACACTGTGATG